GAGCAGATCGAAAGATTTTATGGGCCTTCAAAGTTGAAGGTGCGCCTTCTTAGAATTTTGGGTTTTCCACTTCTAACAGAAGTACTTTCCGGAGAGTTAGGCAATCCTTGTAGTTTTCTGGAAGCGCACCTCAGGCACAATCAAAATCTACCTCAACAAGTCAAAAAAATACGTCCCAAGAAAGTTATTCCCCTCTAAAATTTTTCTTCGCCGCGTCCCGTTCTTGCCGCGCTCCAAGGCCGACGCGACGACGCGCAGACGCTTTCTGGCGCAACGGATTCATGTCTAGCACTCTTATTAACAAAAACAGGGGGTCGCAACTGGACCCCCTCGAGAGCTAGGGGGTCGCAAAAATCCCGAAAATGTTCGAACGTGACGGTTGACCCCTGTTTGGAGAGGGGTGCGGGCAGCCACTTGACATGCTAAAAAAGTGCGATGGTTATGGTTGACCAACTATTTTGCTTGAGAAAAGCAACCAAGGCGATTAGAATGCGCGCTCGACGCATGGTCCCCAACACACTTATCGTCTAGCACCCGGCGATTAGTCAGTAAGGAAGAAGGATAACAGTACTATCGATTAGTGAGTGAGATAGCAGCAGGGAGATGGAGCGATTAGGCGATTGCTCAGTAGGTGGAGCAAGCTAATCGATAGGTGTCTTTTTCTCCTCGCCTTTTCGCATAATCGCTTTCTCGCCTAGTCTCTCGATCGATACGTATGTTTTCTGCTTGAACACTCGCCTGATCGCGTATGCGATCGCAAACTATAAACACTGCCTAACGAAATCAAATGAGCAACATGAGTGAGGTATGGTCTCATTTTTCGTAGTATTTTCTGTGTACGGCCGGTTGGTGGTGAGCGTATTGCCGGATGCAGCAAAAATGGGCAAAGAACCCAAAGTCAAAGATGTTATTGAATTTCCTGACAGGTACCTATTTCAACATATTTAGTACAGTATCCTCCATACAGAACGAGTCGATTTAGCACTGTAAATGTTAATTTGAAATTCGACGAAAAAGATATGCGGCTTCTCGATGAAAGTGAAACGACGGAGACGTGAGTAAGCACGTCGGCGCTATCGCAGGGTACGTCCTCTAGGAAGAAGCTCAGGAGGGGCCAGGTGCTTCTGGAAAAAAAGGAAAAATTGCCCACGCAAGTTGTAGTCTCTCTTCCCCCGCCCAAGGGTCAATTTCATTTTAACAAGAAGGAGTTACGCGTTTCGGTTACAAGGCTTCTGTCAACCAAAGGGTGAGAGCGTAGCTGGAAAAGCACACACTTTGTGTCTTATTGGGACTAAGCCTTTTGAAGAAGATAAAGAAAGAGGAGATGCTGTGATAGTGTGCACTTGTGAGAGCTCCCAGACATCACTACAAAACGCTGAACCGCCAAGGCTCACGGTTGACAGATGTCCTGAGACCCCGGGTTTCAAGCGCTGCCAGCCACACAAAGTCCCCGAGCTTTGCGATAGCGCCGAGCACTCGTCGCTACTATCTCTTATACCCTCAGAAAATCTGAAGATGTCCTTTTTACAGGACACACGTCTCCATTACGTCAGCTTTAACAGCAAAGTTCAATCCAACAATCTGTGTTCTGATCACCGCTGGGTTTATCTTGTGAATTTTCTTGAAATCTTTTACCAATCAAGGCAGTGTTCAGAATTGGCCGATTGTATGCTTTGGCAATTAGGGCCCATTAATGTCAAAACAGAAGTATACACTCGACTTGTAGCGGTAGGGGAGTAGACGCTGAGAGAAGGATATGTATCGTCTTGTTCGCTCCCCCTACTGAGCGATCGCCTAAATCGCCTACACGCTCTAAGGCCGCGTTCATAGTTCGCGACTCGGGAGAGGCGACAGGATATTAGGATAGTAGTAGAGTAGGAGATTGCGCTGACAAGATTGGATACGTATCGATTGAAATCGCTGGAGAGTAGTAGATTGGGCGACTTCAAGCGAATAGATCAATACATATCTAATCTTGTCAGCGCACTATCCTACTATCCTAATCTCCTACTCTACTACTATCCTACTATCGTAATATCGCAATCTACTACTCTCCGGCGATTTCAATCGATACGTATCTAATCTTGTCAGCGCAATCTCCTACTCCTACTCTACTACTATCCTAATCTCCCCGTCAATACATATGTTTTTCATTGTCGCGTACTATCCTAATCTCCGGAGTCGCGAACTATGAACGCAGCCTATGGGCGGAGCAATTCAATCAATACGTATGTGGTCTTCACCGCCTACTCGCCTAATCGCCTAATCTATACGTATATTTTTCATTATAGACTAATCGCCTAATCGCCTAATCGCCTAATCGCACGTACGATCGCCAAACTATGAACGCTCCATAACAGATATGATTGTTGCCGTGGATAAAATGAAACCCAACTGGTAGAGACGCTGCATTAGATTACGGTCTTTGTTTCATCCGAAATCTGGCTTAGTTCAGACTTTGGGAAGGATTGAAAGAGGGTGGGTAAGCCTCTTTGCATTATTCCCGAAGTTCTTCCCCGTCTCCTGGGCTTAGTCCGCACAACGGTGTCCCAGATGGCAACACAACCTCCCCGAATTGTACACTTTTTGCGGGTTCGTTTGCGAATTCTTCATTTCTTGTCAAAAGCAAGTCATAAAGACTACCTAAGAGAGCCTAGAATGTGTCCATTATGCCGCCCGACTCATCAGCCTTTAATATCAAAAATGAAGTGTACTATCAACTTGCATGCGCGTAAAATCAATACCCATGTGAAACTTCATTCGCAGATTGAATCAGCCGAGCACGAACTTCGACGTTGTTGAAAGAGAAAAGAAATACTTCAGAATTCTTCTTAATGCTATCGCGCACTTGACGCCAGCCTTCGGAGGACTCATGACGCTGATGTTCATGCCTTTTCTGTACGAATGGCAACGATTGCATGGGTCAAAGCTGACAAGGAACTCCCGATTATCCTTCAACTATGCGGAACTATTGGCACTGGACAAGTGCGTGAGAAAGGAATATAAGAAGAACAGAGGTGTTAGGCGTTTTCCTGCGAGACTAACTTTTCAGGAACTATATTCCATACTACACAATGGGATACCTCTTTGGTGAGAAGTATAAGGGCTTCATTATACCGTGCACTAGTGGTGTAGAAGATGACAGGACACCGAATGAGTAAGCTGCTCGTCTACATTCTCTCGTCTT